AGGGTGAGGGGGTGAAGTCCAGATATAGGGAGCTTGAATACTCTAATTCAGGGAAGAGATGAGAGAAGGCAGAGTAGAAGTTGGTTCCAGAGGTGTTTAGATCAAAATCAAGTTGTCATGTTTTGTTTGTCTGTTTTTGTTTTGCCAATTCTGTTGAATGTGGGGAAAGGGGGCAGAGAAGCAGGTGTACTGGCTTTTGCTTAGGTAACTGTACAGGTGGTGAGTTCATTCACTAAAATGTGGAATTCAGGAAGAGGAGAGTTGGACGTCAGGGTGTTCTGTAAGTGGTCAGAACTCAAGAGAAGGTCTAGGCCGGAGACATTCTGTGTGAGTCCTCAGAGTGCAGGTGGCGCGTGATCCTGTAGAGAGCGCTGTCTGGTAACACAGAGGAGAGAAAAAGAGTGGCCCTGGGATGGCTTCGTGAGGTTAGGATGCAAGTCCTGGCAGAGGGACATAGCAGGAGGGCAGTAATACTGAGAGCGGGAGGAGGTAGGATAAATTGACACAGATGGAAATAAATTGATGAGGGTAACTTTTTCAGAGCAAGAAATTTGGAGTTCCTAGCTTTTAATGGCCTCTTAAATAGGAGGCAGCTCATTTGGTTGACTAAAGATGAAAGTTAATAGCCTCCTGAACAGATAACCTGGTTGAATTACCTACCTGTGGTCAGTTTGTGAGTCTGCTAATGAGAAGTGATGGAAAGTGTCTCTGAACAGGGGTCAGTGGTGAGAGGCTACAGCCATATCCCTGGAAGGTGTCTTAAAGGATATGGGAAGACTTTCTATTCCGTACCGTGCCTAAAAACAGTTAAATTACATGAACTCATATAACTACCATATTGTTTCTTTTCATCTTCTTTCTCTATAGAAAGCAAAACCCTCTTTGTAGATGGTATTCATGTGATCCTATTTGGGGAAATGATTTCTCCCATTTGATCTTATGGTCAAAGAACTAGAAAGAGAGAAGGCAGGGGAGGTAGAATGAACATGTGTATGTTCATCTCGACTCCCCTCAGTTGGGGGCCACCAGGAACATACGGATAGTCAAACAAGTTGGGATTTTTGCTCCTTGCTGTGAGGAAGGACACGTGTTCTAGGATACCATGGGGTGTCTGAGAGGGTGTTAGAACCTGTCTCGGATGTGGCTTTGGTGGGGAGATTTTCGGGAGGATCTAAGGAAGCAGAGGCTCACTCTGTACTGGGTGCTGTCAAAAGTTAGGATGGGTTGGCGGGCGCCAGCCCCATATGCTGGAGGTGGCAGGTTCAAACCCAGCCCTGGCCAAAAAAAAAAAGTTAGGGCAGGTCTATTATGACTGGGCATCTCTATAAATTTTATAGGAGGACAAACAACATGGAGGGGGAAGATGTAATGCTAAAGGAGTGGCAGTCACTCATTTAGTCATGAGGAGGATTTTGGAATCAGGGTTGCACAGTGATCTTGCTTTTGCATCAGTTTGTCGTATTATTATAACAAAGTCTCAGAGTGACTTCCTTGGGTATAATCTGTGAGATTACGTCTACCAGGGGAATAAAACATCCCAACTCTGAGTATCAGACCAGCTTATAATAACATTGAGATCTAGCTGTGTAAGACTTCAGAGAGTGCTTGATTTTTCTTATGTTTATGTATAAAAATTATGCATGATGTACACTTCTATCCTACTTTAACTCTGATAATTCAATTGATCTCATTCTTGTTTTGGTGATTGCAGTTTTAACATGGAAAAACAGTTGTTTTATGAAGCTTAATATGCTTTATCAGCATATTAAGACTCATTACTTTGGGATGTACTTTCTTTCTTTCTTTTGCATGTCAGCAGCATAAAATGTATTGCTGTTTGGAAAACTCATTATATATCTGGAGAATAACAAAACAGCAGATTCTTTCCTTTATCCAGGTGGGATGTGGGCGGTGGGGAAGGCAGAGAGGAGGCGAATTTTTAGAACTATTTAGAAGATAGAGTAGACAGACTTGATGCCAGAATGTAGTAGGTAGGGAAGCCAGAAGAGTGAAGGATGATTCATAGGTTTGTAGTTAAAGTAGTGATGGAGAAGAGGGGAAGAGGCACAAGTTGGCAGAGGAGTGACAAACCTTAAAAAAGGAACCCCCCCCCTACAGTGATAAGAACCTGGGGCGGGGGGCTGATGGTTTCTAATCAATCTTCAGGTGGCCAGTTCTAACAGAGAATGATTATTGATTGATTGATTCACATCAAGAGCTATATCTGCATAGGGAACCAGCATCTTAAGTTCTTTCCTCAACATATTCTTTCCTGTAGGCAAATCTGCATAAGAGGTGAAGTTGGGATTAAAGACTGTTTGATCTGGGGAGGGGACAGAACAAAGGGAGCTAGCTCAGGTAAATCTTGGTGGCTGTTGTCATCAGGGTATTCAGGGACTAATATACGTAGAAACACAGAACTGACTCCTAAACCACGTCCTGACCCTGTAGGCAAAAACATTGAGTGCCGAGGTTACCAAAGTGAGTTTCAGTCCACATCTACTGTTAGCATGAGAGCTGGCACATAGTAGGCATTCAGTGCGTATTGTAAGGAGGAGTCGTGGGTGCATGGGTGAGGGATGGAACTATTATTTGTGTCTGCCATGTGTGTACAGAGGGGTGAAGAAGCTCTGTCTTGTAGGCGTTTGCCAACCTGGTTCAAAATGTTACAAACTTCTTGTAGAACTGGTCTTCATGTTTTTAATGGAAATGTTATGAAGGGAGGAAAGGAGAGAGGGAGGGAATTAAAATTTACCTGTAATTACACATAAGCAAATTAAGGAACAGAATTCCTTTACCTGTTTCCATTCTGAACTCATGTAAGGAAACAGAATGCAAACAGATCTTAAAAGGAGCTCTCCTAGTTGATAGGTCACTGTTTCAGGTACCGGATTGATTGAAAACATCTGATATATTAACATTTCTTTTCTTTTTGCCATTGTGCTTCCTCTTTACATTGGAAAAGGCTTTCCCTAACTGACTGACCTATCCTCCTCCAAATTTTTATCATAGGTAGAAATAAGAGCTTTTCAGTGTGAGAGCTGCTTTCTCTAAGAAATTAAAGTGAAATGATAATTGTATATTTTCCCCCATTAAAACATACATATGATGTATAATTCTATTTTATTAAATTGAAAGTTACTTTTGAAATTGTGTGCCATTTTCCCAGAAGATCATACTATGAAAAATGATTCAGATCAATCTATAAAGATAAAAAATCTCTAACTAAATGGTCGTGGCTGGGCTAGATTTCAGATTACTGGTGTAGAAGAAATGTTAAAGCCTGTGGTCGGCTCCCTATTATCTTGGACAGTGCCCTAATTATACCTTTAAATAGGAGGCATTGCTTTTCTTTTAAATCCTCCTTTTATGTCTCAGATTATTCATGTGCCTTTGGGAGTCTCTAAAGTTCTCCATTAATCAGAATTTCAAGAACATCTGATAATAGTTAAATATGATGTTGATATTAATAGTTTTTCTTTAGGAATTCCCTTTCTCTATTTTGGTTATTTTTATTTTAGGCATTCTTAACATTGATGGCTCATATAATATACTGAGTTTGTTATGCTGAATTTGTGAGAAGATTATTTTTGAGTTATAGGATATCCTAGACAAAATCTTCTGAGTACATCAAGAAGTGAAGAGTTGGTGAAGGCTATGTTGCTTAGTAGGATGTAAGCATTCTAATTTGTACAAATAATCAACACATTGAATCCTATAATGGCATAAATGTATTTATAATCTATGTACGAATGACTTACTAAAAAAAAAAAAAACAACAAAAAGAAGTGAAGAATAAAACTGGATGGTTTCTGAGTTTCCTAAAAGAAAAATTATGATATCCCAACATGACTTTGAAAATTTGGAACTTAAAATAGCAAACATTGAATTAATAAGCTAATTTTCAAATAATATAGCTTAATATATAGTTTGATAACTTGTACTTAATAAGAATTAAGCAGAAGGCTTTATGAGTAACAAACACATCATCTTAACTACTTAATATTCTCTCCTATTTAAGTAAATTTAGAGAAGCTTGTTTATTTGAACTTGTTTTAAATTTATATTCTTTAATTTTAAAAAATGCCTCAAGGAAGGCATTTTCCTAAGTTAAGAAAATGAAAAAGAAAAATGCTGAAATGTGTTTCTTTGAGCTGACAAAACTCGCTTTTGTGCTTTATTAATTAATAAATGGTCCTATAACCGAATATAATTTAGTCACCTATTTAAAGATGTACTGATTATTCTTTGATTAGGACTGAAATCTATAATTGGGAGAAAGAAAATATTTTTTGTTTCTTTATATATTATATATATTTGTATATTCTTTGTTTCTTTAAACATATTTGATTCATTATTTTATCAAAATGAGATGGTTTTTCTTTCTCTCTTTTTTTTCTTTCTTTTGCTAAATTAGTTAATAGGCAGGCTTTGGGAAGTAGGAAGTACTTCAGAATTCAACTGGCTCAGCCACTTTATAGCAGGTGTCTTTAAACTACAGCCCATGGGCCACATGCGGCCTGCCTGAGACATTTATCCAGCCTGCTGGGTGTTTTTGCCACTGCTGCCTGTCCTTCTTAGCAGCTGACTCGTCCTGGGGCCCGCAGTCCGGCCCTTCAACGGTCTGAAGGACTGTGAACTGGCCCCCTGTTTAAAAAGTTTGATGACCCTAGCTCTATAGCTAATGATAACTGGGGATCAAAGTGTGGAGAAACGAAGTATCCGAGGTGACTCATTGGGCCAAAATAAAACTCAGCACTCTAATTTCTGGGTCCAGCACTTTTCACACTATAATATGTTATTTCAAAACCAACCTAGATGCTATTTAAAAGAAAGAGAGAGCTGGGAGAAGTCCAAAGGAATGGGGTGTACATCCCCCTTGAGTGAACCTGTGAAGGTTAGTTTACTTAATTAACGTGTCTCCAGCATCTGTCCTTCAGAAGAGATGCTTCTGGGATGGGGATAATCATGCTAATGAAATCGACTTTTTTCTTTTCTAGGTGAGAGTTACGTGTGCGCATCCAATGAACCGTATCGTAAAGTTGATTACACCAAAAATGTTAATCCGAACTGGTCTGTGAACATCAAGGGCGGGACAACCCGAGCCCTGGCTGCTGCCTCTTCTGTGAAAAGTGAAGTAAAAGAAAGTAAAGATTTCATCAAACCTAAATTAGTGACTGTGATTCGAAGTGGAGTGAAGCCTAGAAAAGCTGTGCGGATCCTTCTGAATAAAAAGACTGCTCACTCCTTTGAACAGGTCTTAACAGACATCACCGAAGCCATTAAATTAGACTCAGGCGTAGTCAAGAGGCTCTGCACCCTGGACGGAAAGCAGGTGAGGTGCTTCTGTTCCTTAGTCTCAGCGACTTTTCATGTCCTGTCTCAGGGCAATTATATATTCAACAATAGAAATTTAGTAGTCTGCTGGAAGTAATTCTTGCAGTCCTACTCGAAAAGTGTGTATTAGCTTTTATTGTGAAAAATGAAAGTGGCTTACATTTTTGCAAGTATTGCACAAGTGATAGAGAAGTCTTATCATATACTTCTTTTGATTATTGGAAGTGAAAATGCAAATTTCTGAGGGGAAAGTATAAGTTGAGAAGGCATCTTGCATTCAGTGGGTTGTTGTCGATTGAAGAATAAGAATAACTGTTGATTAGTAAAGCCATTTTGGGGTCGGGTAGAATAGGAGTCAAAATTAAAGTTATTTTAACATTTTTAAAAGGCCTACTTATGTGTAGGATGGAAAATGCATTTCAAAAGAGTACTTTTATAGGAACATCCATATAAATGTTATAGGGAACAATGAAGTAATTGATCAGCATTTCTGAAAAATGAACACTCATCCCCTAGGAAAATGCAAGTCAAATTATGGTAACAATACATCAGGGAATCTAATGGCATATTGCAAGAACACATGAAAAGCAGTTATGTAAATACGAAGTTTGCCATAGATTATCCTAATTTCTAACAAGAAACATGTGGCTTCTGAAATGTGTTTCCCCCCGTTTCTATAAAGTTAAATTGTTTATCTTTACGTTGTATTAAAAATTGTAGTTTCCAACATTAAATTTGTTTGTTCATTCCATTTTATTTTTTCT